ACCCCTGATACATTACAGCCTGGCCATGGGCTTGATAGAGTTATTTGGACCCCTGATAAGCGTGGTCCTTTTTTGGCCTACCCTTGCGGGTTGTGCTAGGGATTGCTTCTGTATTGTTTTTTCTTTGTTTTGGGTGGTTGAGAACGTCATAATGTTCATGTTTCAACGTACAATCTATATGAGGTTCCTGAACATAGTCTAGTCTTTTTTGTGCTGGCTGTTTTTTGCTGTGTTGGTAGTCCTGAACAGGTGGGCTGTTTTGCTTTGTTTTTGCTGTGTCTGGCAGTTTTGTATAGGTTTTGTTAGGGCCTGGGGCATGCCCCTTGTATTTGTGTATCCTCTTGTCTTTTTATTTATGACTTATTCACCCACAAAAAAAACCATTCCTTTCTACTTGAACCTCTTTGTATGGCTATTAACCTACAAACCAATGAATTGCAGGTTAACATGAAGAATTCCCCAATTAAATGTAGCAAACAAAATGCAAAAAGTTAATTAAACCTTGTAAAGGGCTTCCCAAACGTCATCCGGTGCAGTAATAGTAAGTCGCTGGCTATCCCAACCAACACCAGTATGCTTTAGTATTGCTGTAAATTTGTTGAACATAATACGCAACTAATTGTATTTGTTCCGAAGCTGGTGTGCGTTATACTGGTATTGGGTTTTTGCATTCATTTGATCTCTCAACCTGTTCCAAGCTTGTTTAGTGAATGTCCCAGTTATTTTACTACTCTTGGTTTTCACTTCCTCATTCATGAGGGTAATGAAAAGAGCCTCATGTTCCTAAGGCTATGGACCACTGTTTCCTCTACCAACTTCAACAACATCATTATCATCAATGGGGAGATCATTGTGTACTATTGTTGTCATTGCCTAAATATGTATATTTATTCATAGATAAAATGAAGAAGAACACATCAGTATAAATTGAAGAGGCCTAAATATTTACTCAAATAAAAGGAAGAGGCCTAAATATATATATTTATTTATAGATAAATTCAAACAAGAGGCATTGAAGAACAAGCACCAGTTACTTTTGATCTAATTTTATAGATCTACCTCAAGCAGTAATTACTTTTGAATAAAATGAAGAATAACAGTTATAATATCATTAAAATGAAGAATATCATTAAAATGAGCTTCAGGCAACAATATCTTTTAAATCCTTGTCATGTACTCCAAATTTAAAATGAAGAAGAAGATCTGCAGATTAAAATATCTTTTAAATCGAAATTAGCTTTAGGTAACAATATCACTAAAATGAAGAAGATATGCAGATTTAAAATGAAGAATAACAGTTATATGTTCTTAAAAATAAATAAATAAACAAACAATTTACATGGATCTAGCACAAATCTACAAACAACTATGGCAGAATAGATTTGCAGAACAGATTTGTGGTTTGGAAATTTTGCAGAACACCGAGAGAGAGAGAGGGAGAGAGAGAGAAAGAGAGAGAGAGAGATTGACCTGAGATTGAGATCAATGTGGTTCGGAAATTTTGCAAAATATCTGCAGAACAGATTTGTTGTTAAAGGGAAAAAAAAAATCCCACCATGGCAGCTTGGTGAAACACAGAGAAGAGAGGGGAAAAAGAGAGAGAGTGAGAGAAGAGAGAAAGACCTGAGATCAATTTGGTTAGAAGATCTACAAAGATCTGCAGATTTGCAACATTAGTAATGTTTTAGAAAAGAAAAAAAAATTCGAAGCTCAGTGAACACAGAGAAGAGAGAGGAGACAGATAGAGAATGAAAGGGAGACAGAGACGAGAGGGGAGAGAAAGATAAGAGAGAGACTAACCTAATTTGCTGAAGTTTCAGTCGAACATAAAGTAGAGAAAAATGATAAGATTTAGATACAACTTTTATTTTACCGTTGGGAGAAAATAAATTGAATTCGGGAGCTCTGAAGATTTGAACCATAGTCGTTATGTCGACAACTAAGTTACTGTAGCTCCGCTACAGTGACTTCCGCTACAGTGCCAAATTTATAAGCCAATGAAAACGCCTTTTTTTAATTTACATTTTTTGGTCAAATTTATAAACTGAGAACTAGTATTATAAATCAAAAATTTATCAAACAAGTTTTTAGCATAATTTTTAAAATTTTTGTAAATATAAACTGAAAACTGAAAACAAAATGGTTACCAAACAGACCCTAACAATTTTGGTTGCGTTTGGTCTCTTTTAAAATCGCGACTATAATTGAAAATTTCAAAACTCATAACCAAACATACAACTCAAAATTTAATTAAATAATTATTTTCAAAACTCAATTCAAAAATTATTTTCAAAATTCATAACTAAACACACAACTCAAAACTCATAACCAAACTCTTTTCAAAACTCTTTTTTTTTTAAATCAACAAAATATTTTTTTTATTTTGTTCTTTAAAATTATTTTTTATTTTTATTTTTTTATATTTTTTAGAAAAATATTTTTTATTTATTTTATTTTTGAAGACAAATATTTTTTATTTTTGTAAAAATATATATATTTTGTTATTTTTTTAAATATTGATCAAATAATTTATTATGATTTAGATATATATGGGCAATACAAAATTTTTTAAAATTTAGAAAAAATTAAATATTTAAAAAAAGTATTAAAAGAAAATTCTTAAACATTTTAAAAAAATAAATCTAAAAAATTTCAAAATACAACTCTTTTTTAAGAAAAATGCTATGAACCTCAAATAAATTACCAAATTTTCTACTATAGGTGTGGATCCATACAAAAAAAATTCTAACCAAAAATAATTTATCTAAAGTTCCTAACATAACACCTTTTCCGAACAAAATGAAAAGCGACCACAGTGGGAGTCGAACCCACGACCTTCTGATCCGAAGTCAGACGCGCTAATCCACTGCGCTATGCGGTCCTCTGATGACAAGAGCCTATATCATAATTATTTGAACGTAACATTTTTATCCAATTTCATGTATATTTTGCTACAAGTTAACACTATTATTTTTACTCTTTAGTTGGTAGTGAATGAGATTTATAAAGTTTATTATATAGAGTGAAAGATAGAAAAAGGAAAAAAAGAATTGAGTGGTCCACTATTTTTATTGTATCTATTTGTGTAAGTTCCATTGGAAACCAAACCAATACATGAGGGTTTGCTACTAGTTCATTGGGGTTCTGGTAATAAGTACCCCAAATGCATAAGAAAATAAAAATAAAAAAAAGAGATCGTAAAAGTCGAGATATTGGTAAATAGTTTCATTACACTTTTCTCATTTTAAAATACTTTTTTTATCATTTTAATACATTTCTTACGCTATTTCAATACTAAACAATGCATAAAGATATTTGTTAACATTTATCTTAATTTATAAACTGAATAGTCACAATGCAATCCGGCTTGACTTTACCCTCTTTACAATTTTCACCTCCATACACTATTATGGGAAGTTAGCTACAAGAAAACTATAACCACTTGTATCATATTGATAATGATAATGGTCATTCACACATTTTACATTAGATCAAACTCCATTAAAATATGCTGGCAATTGTTTATGATGGACTTCAAAGAGAGGGAACGTGCGAGATGTAAAAAATATTAGTTAATTAATTTGGTCATTTCACAATTTTTGTTAATAGTATTAGGGAGTGTGTGATATTTTGACAGTTAAAATATTTAATTATACACTTTTATAGTTAAAGGGTAAAGTGATACTTTATGATAGTTTATGGGATAAAATGATATAGGGGTGTGTAACATTTTAGTAATAAATGTATTCTGTTAACATCATTAAGAAGGTTTTACGATATCAATAGTTTAGAGGGTCAATTTGTATTTATTTTTTGGGGGATGCACCAATAAATCCCAAATTAATAACTTATGCACTGTTTAGTCCTAAAAGTTTTCTTATAGACTGAAAGGTCCCATTACAATGTTAATAACATCAGATACAATGTTAATAACATCAGAGTCATGTTACAAACATTGGATTTCAAACATCTAATGTTCATCAAATTTCAATAATGTTTGAAAATATAGGATGAAAAACATCTAATGTTCATCAGATTTCAATAAATTTTGAAATTATAGACTGAATAGTCACAATGCAATCCGGCTTGACTTTACCCTCTTTACAATTTTCACCTCCATACACTATTATGGGAAGTTAGCTACAAGAAAACTATAACCACTTGTATCATATTGATAATGATAATGGTCATTCACACATTTTACATTAGATCAAACTCCATTAAAATATGCTGGCAATTGTTTATGATGGACTTCAAAGAGAGGGAACGTGCGAGATGTAAAAAATATTAGTTAATTAATTTGGTCATTTCACAATTTTTGTTAATGGTATTAGGGAGTGTGTGATATTTTGATAGTTAAAATATTTAATTATACACTTTTATAGTTAAAGGGTAAAGTGATACTTTATGATAGTTTATGGGATAAAATGATATAGAGGTGTGTAACATTTTAGTAATAAATGTATTCTGTTAACATCATTAAGAAGGTTTTACGATATCAATAGTTTAGAGAGTCAATTTGTATTTTTTTTTATTTTTTTTTTAATTCAAGGGACCAAAATGCTACTCAACAATAATTTAGGTGTAAAAATACCCCTAATGGACTAAACTGCCAGGAAAACAGGTCTTCTTATCCTATCCTATCCTATCCAATGCTGAGGATTGTGTGGAAGAAAAACATTCCTGCATTTATCAAGCATACGACTCTTAACTATTTTGAGTGGCCTTCATTTTTTTTGACAATTAATTGATGCAATTTTCATATTAACTTCCTCAATGGAAAAAAAGGGTTTCATCCCATGGAAATTGAACTCAAATCACCAATTCTTTAGTTCCCCAGTCTTCCTGGATTGAAAACTTGAAATAGTATGGTACATTACCCACTCTTTTTACTCATTTCCATTGCATTTGTTTATGAAACGGAGACTGTATTTGTATCTTAAATTTGTAACTATCTCTTTTATTATCACAAAGGAGAACGTAAAAAGAGACCCAAAAAAAAAAAATAAACTAAAGATTAAATTACTCATTCATAAGCATAACAATCATATCCTTGGAATACACTAAAAGCAGACCAACAAAACATGAGAGAGACAGAGAGATTGGAATTTAAGCAGTGAGCTCCTCTTCCTTGTGAGTCTCAATGACAACATCAGACTGAGGGTAAGCAACACAAGTGAGAACCCAACCCCCATCCATCTGATCATCATCAAGGAAGCTTCCATCGGACTGATCAACTTTCCCTCCTGTCAGCTTCCCTGCACATGAAGAGCAAGAACCCGCCCGGCACGAGTACGGGAGGTCGATACCAATCTCCTCTGCCTGGTCCAATATGTACACATCATCAGGGCACTCAAACTCTTGAGGTCCCTCAGGTGTGAGCAGCTTCACTTTGTACATAGCCATGGCTGTTACACGGCCCCCACGCCCCCCCTTCACTCCGAAGAGAGCCTGGCCCACGTTAGGGAGCGATCGGAGGGAGGTGACCGGCTGCTGCCGCTGGAGGAAGGAGGTGCTAACCATGGTGCTGGAGAGTGAGGCTGCCATTGCCATTGTGGTGTGTGGGGGACACAGAATGGGAAGCTTAGCTTCAAGGGGTGGGTAGAGAGAGATAGAGAGTTGGAAAGACTAATGTTGTTGGTGTTGGGAGAGGCTTGTGGAAATAGTGTGGTGAAGGATGAGGTGGCATGGTATCCTATTCGCCCACGTGTCAGATTGGTGTGGTTCACTTTATCATTTTATCATCAGTGTATATGTGGTTAGTGTTTGTCTCAATATCCATCTATTGAATTTGGGCCTTTCATTGAGAAAGGGCAGATTGTGGGTTATTTGATTTCTGGTTACTGGGTTTTCACAAATACAAAATTTTGAACCACAGTACAAATTTGGGGACATGGGTTCAGTTTCTCATTGTCATGATCACACATTTAGCATCTACTGCTCTCATTTAACCACCTCTCCACTGAACATTGCAATCAAGGAAAAGAAACTAAACACCAAACAAAAAAATGATTTTATTTTTATTTTTTATAATTCGAAACTCATAACTGATGGATCAAAGGCTACCCCTAAACCAGTGAACAGAACAAACAAAAAGATACTCCAACCCTAATCAATCAATAACATGGGAGAGCATAACCAAAAATAAAAGGAGTATGCTGCCATCATGTATGTCACCATTGATCTTGGTTCAACATAACAAAAATGCTATGCACCCAAACAAATGCTCAAACAGACTCACGCCATACACTTCATTTTTTAAACACTTTTTCGATATCTTTTTTTATGATGCATGACTTCTTCACATAACCTAAATTAACTGTGTCACAGAGAGAGAGAGACAGAGAGAGAGAGAGTATTTTGAAGACTGCCATAGACAAACAATCTATGATGCACAAAAGTCATTCCCTCAATATTCCTCAAGTTTCTTGTGTCAAAAGCATTGATAAAGAACAAAATAAAAGAAACTGAAAAGAAGTCACTACATGGGACATCCATAGAAGAGGAAAAAGGGGCATCAATAAAGCTTTTGTTTGCGAAAAAAAAAAAAAAAAAAAAAAAAAAAAAGAGAAGGGGGGGGGGGGGGGGGGGGGGGGGGAGAGAAATAAATGCATAACAAGTTTAAGTCACATTTTCATGTTTATACTTTTAGATTATAGAAACAATCACTGCATTCTAAATAAAGTAACAAAAAACCACTTACAGCCCAGCCAAAGAAAAAAAAAAAGGGTAAAAATCTCAGGGCTTCATATCTAGAAGAGTTACATGCCATCATCCTAACTATGTGGATTTTCGTTTCGTCTGTGAACATCACTGGATCCCCCATACATGACCAGACCAGAGTCTTCCTCTCATTCATTCTCAACAATCGGACATCCAAAGCTTGGGGAAGTAACATCAGGTCCATTTTCTTTCTCGGAGAGCCCTAGTCACACTTGATGTTTCGGTAGATCCTCCTTACAAACAAATTGGAGCCCAAATAACCAACCGCTCCTGTAATTAAAAGGAGAATTTTTTGGTTAAGAAAATTAGAGACTGATAGAACCAGTCAATTACAATGTATCAAATAAGGTAAATTAGGAAGGAAATGTACATGTATAAAAAGTGTATTGAAATATTTGAAAAGAGAACAAAAATATATATATAAGTGAAAAGGAATATGTGGAAAGTGTATTGAAATAAATTTCTTTTGGGCAAATTGTGCTAGTAGTCCTAGTATTTTGGTCCTTATGTCATTTTAGTCTCCATAATTTCAATTGGCTCGATTTTGACCCTAAATTTATGATTTTGTTTTAATTTAATCCAATTGATTACAACTCTTAACATTTGTTTTTATGAAAAATATGCATACAAGTGGCATGTGTCATATTTTTACAATAAAATTATAAATCTACTAAATTGGGTGAGTTAATCTCAAACCAATTTAGTGATTATTTTTAGTCAAAAATACTAACGGCATTATCAATTGGATCAAATTGATATAAAATTTAAAATTAAGAATCAGAATTGAGCCAATTGCAAGTAGAGAGAAACCAAAATGACCCAAGGGATAAAATTTAGGAGCCATAGGTCCCCCCTCCCCCCCCCCCCCCCCCCCCTTTTTTTTTTTTTTCTTTCTTTTTGCATAATTTGATTCTTAACAAACATCCAACACTAAGCAAACTAGACAACCTAGAAGACACTAAGCAAATGTACCTTAAATATTATGTTCAAAAAACTCTAGAGATTCTGACCCATTTTTCATAGTTTGCCACTAAACAAAATTTCAGGCAAAAAATAGAAATTCCCTCTGTTTCGAAAGGTACAAAACTGAAAAAAAATCAGATTTCATAACATTTCTTTTTTGGTTTTGATCAGCAAATCAAATATCATAATTCCTAACAGGATATTCAGTAGCATGATAAAAGGCTTTGGGGCTGTAGAAATTATATAAACAAATGAGGAAGCAACAATAGAGCAGTGCAGCAATAAAAGAACGCTTGTAGAAACAATAAAACTCACCGCAAAGAATTCCTAAACCGAGGCAAAACATCATAGTGTATCCAAAATAGAAGCTGGTCTGGAAGAAGCCTGACATCTTAGTCTTCACATAGTAGTAATATATTGAATACAAGTACACGTAGACAGCTGTTGATGCAGCGGAGAAGAATGAAGTCCACTGCCAGTGATAGTTCTCAGCATTTAGCAAGAAATACGTGCCCACAATTGTAACACAAACCGTAACAATAATGAGAATCAGAAAAACCAGCAGCATAAAGCCGTAGACATAGTACACCTGTCAAGTACAAAGAGCAAAAAGACATAATTAAGCTCTTGACTATTCATATGACTATCATGAACAAAAAAAGATGGGGGGGAAAGAAAGGGAATGGGGTTTCAGTTTTCCAAAAGTATGAAGGAGTGCAAAAGAGGTTCGTGAACTTCCCATGGAAATGAAACAAATCTAGTCAAATTCTGTACATGTTACATTTAAAAGCATTACATTATTTTATTTTTTTCAAAATCATTAGTATATTACCTTTTCCAACAGGTACTTTACAGATGTTCAATTGAATACAAATAGTAAAATAAGTTATTTTTTCACCACAACATCAAGAAACAGACCAACCGGATTGAGACCAAGAGGAACTGTGCTGGATAGGGCAAACCAACTGAAGAGGGCTGGTGGAGTGTCCAATGGTTCAGCTGCCAACAGGAACTTGTGGGAGTGGGCATGGGCGTGGGACCACCCTAAACCTAATTTTGATGTAAGATGTTCTTGTCAATGAATGTACTTGCAAATAGGCCTCGTTTGGGAAAATGCTAGTTTAGTAACTTTTTGACTTTTTGACTAAAAAATGAGGTAAAAAAAATTAGTATGTTTGGGATGACTTTTTCATTTTTTACGAAAATATGTGCAAAAAGTAGAGAGAAAGGGGAATCTTTGACTTTTTGATATATTTTTGGTATAGGTTGTTGGCTTTTTGATTTTTTTAGTGACTTTTTGGCTTTTAAGCTAAAAAGTGATCTTGCCAAATGAGGCCTTAAATGCCATTTAGCGAAGAAAAAGAAAATATATACATATTTTTACTTAGAAAATATGAGGAAGAAGAACTCCGAAAATATGAGGAAGAAGGAATATATTTCTGTTATATTCAAAACTTCTTATTTTACAAGACCAAATGACACTCCTTATATAGGAGATATTACAAACATCATTATAACCCATTATATGCCACTTACATATTATATATTACCACTATCTACCACTATCATACTATATACATGCCACTATCTACCACCAACACCACAATCATATTCTATACATGCCACTATCCTTCACCAACACCACTATCATATTATATACATGCCACTATCTACCACCAACACCACAATCATATTCTATACATGCCACTATCCTTCACCAACACCACTATCATATTATATACATGCCACCATCTTATTATATACATTAACACAAATTTCCAACACTCCCCCTCAAGCTGGTTTGAAGATATCTTCCATAGCCAGCTTGCTAGTCAGCTTATCAAATTGCTTCTTGTGTAGTCCCTTCGTTAGCACATCAGCTAATTGTTCACCTGTTGGAAGGTAGGTCATACAGATTATGCCAGCATTGATTTTCTCCTTGATGAAATGTTTATCCACTTCTATATGTTTTGTGCGATCATGTAGAACTGGATTATGAGCTATAGATATAACTGCTTTGTTGTCACAATAGACCTTCATAGGTGTCGGGTGAGAAAGCTTTAATTCTTCAAGAATTCTTTTAATCCACATTACTTCACAGATTCCATGGGCAACAGCTCTGAACTCTGCTTCTGCACTACTTCTAGCTACCACATTCTGTTTTTTACTCCGCCATGTAACAGGTTCCCACCTACAAAGGAGCAGTATCCGGATGTTGATCTCCTGTCTATAACACTTCCTGTCCAGTCTGCATCTGTGTATACTTCAACTTGAAGATGTCCATGTTTCTTGAACAGTAAGCCTCTCCCTGGAGTTCCTTTCAAATATCTTAAGATCTTATAAACAGCCTCAAAGTGCTCTGCCCCTGGTGAGTGCATGAACTGACTTACCATGCTGACTGCAAAGGCAATATCAGGCCGCGTATGAGACAAGTAAATCAATTTCCCGACAAGTCGCTGATATTGTTCCCTCTCTTTGACTTCTTCAGCCTTAGCAGCTTGTAACTTCAAGTTAGGCTCGATCGGAGTCTCCACCATCGTACAACCAAGCATACCTGTTTCTCCAAGGAGATCAAGAACATATTTTCTCTGATTAACGAATATACCTTCCTTGGATCTTGCAAATTCCATTCCGAGGAAATACTTGAGGGCTCCCAGATCCTTAATGTGAAATTCTTTTGCGAGTTTCTCTTTGAGAGCTGCTAACTCTGCTTCATCATTACCAGTTAAAATGATGTCATCAACATAAACAATCAAAATTGCAATTTTACTGTTTTTTGAATGTTTATAAAATATGGTGTGATCTGCTTGACTCTGCGAGAAACCACAACTGATAACTGCCTTCCCAAAAGAGAGATGAAGGTGGGATCATGGTTTGGAATTTTTCTAGTCGAACATGCAGTGGACATGCGATGACACGTTTCAGACACGTTTCAGACACGCAACAAATATAGTGGTTGTTTGGGATGATCCAAATAAGCATACTTTTTTACTTTTTACGAAAAGTTGTGCAATGTGGTAAAGAGGTGATGTGACCCTAATAAGATAAAAAGATGATCTAAAGTAGATCACCCTAAACAACCCCCTATTATATTATATAGTTATATATGCAAACAAATTTAGTAATTACTTTTTACTAAGTGAATCATGTATCTAATTCATTTACATGAATTTTTAAACTACAGCAAACATATAATTGTGACATTTGGCTTAACATCCTTAGTCATCTACCAATAAATATACATATCGTTTTCATTATTCATTTAATTTTTTGGGAAACTTCTATAAAATCATCTATATCTATATCTATACTATTATATATGTCAAGGCTTTTAATGTTGTTGACGTCTCATATTTTTGGTTTTCCAAAAATGCCCCTATAGTTGGTGTCTCATGTAAAAATTATAATAAGAGGATAGGACTCGAAACAGGGATCATGGCACTTGAACAACACATACTATGTGTGAATTTTTCCATCATTATTCTTATAATATTATTTTTTTAGAATTGCACATATCGCGTGTGTGGTCCAGTTCTTAATAATTATACATTTTTTTTAAGAATATAAGATGTTAACGTCAAATTCTCAAACTTTGAAAGTCATATGCTAGCAAATATTGAAGAGTGTCGGTCTCACATTTATTTTTTTGATGATAGACATGGCCAAGAAATGACAGACATGATCAAGAAATGACGGACATCACAAAATGAGTGTCGAACACGTGCCCAAAAATAAGATTTTTATTTTTAATTAAGAACATAGAAAAAAAGAGTATTGAATACATGTCCAAAGAGTGTCGTTGTCCGAGTGTTCTACACGGACACGTAACATTTTTAGAAGTTTCAGTGTTTCTTGGCCACCTAGTTATATTTTTCTGTGGATTGATACTGATTTATACAATTCATATGTATGCCGCTTTTGAGTTTTGTATGTATTTGAGGCTTGACATGTAATCTATCTAATATTCTTTTTGGACTTGTAGTGTTAGTACGCAAATATTTAAGTTTTGGGAATTGTGGGCTTACTCATAGCTTTTGAAGCCTACATGTGGAAGTATAATTTTGTAACCGGACTTGAACTATCCTTGATATTTTAGCATTTTATCCCAAGTAATTGATATGCAATTCAACACAACACTTAACTTTTATTCAAATCTGCCTATTATTTATTTTTGCCAATTATTAAACGTTTTCAGCGTTGTTTATCCCCCAATAACCACAATTTTTTCAAAATGTCCAAGTCTTAAGTGGAGTCCCTTAGATTCTAGAGTTGATCAGGAACAACTCCACGACAATTAATTTACGGCCACTTTTCAATAATAAAGAAAACCAGACATATTTATATTAATTCAGATTTGTTGTGCTTAGTTCATGCATTACAATTCAAATAACTGGTTTAAGTGACCTTAAGTGTTACACTTAGCGATAATCCACTGAGATTAGAAACTGGGGCGTGGCACATTGTCTCTTCTTTCAACAATCCTACATCTATACCATCAGTCTGTCATTCACCACTTCTAGTGCTAACAGCTAGAAACATCTAAGGGTGCCTGCTTTAATTTCATTCAGTCATACATATCCTTCCAAAAAATTACAACATAAAGAAAGAAAAGCTTACTAGTAGGTGATCCAAACGAGTTCCTTTTGGCAGAGATAAACCTTCAAAGCCACCACTTATCATGTCAACAAGTCTGGTATCATGCTGATGGAATTGACCAACCATGTCATAACCATGGAGTTTTCAGCGTCCCAACTGTCGAACAGCGGATCATTAACAGTAGGAGCTTTCTTGTCACCAGTGATGTAACCGATCTTTCTTTGCCCACGGATATACATCCGGACAGATTGTGACCAGCGGAGAAAATTATCACCATTTAGGCGGATGGTGGTGATTTGGACAGAGTGAGAGTTGGACGTTTTCACCGGAATGGCAGCGGCAGGGGTTGAAGTGGTTTCGGACGTGACTTCCGACATGGCTATGACGGTTTTAGGGCTGCTGCGTTTTTTGTTGCTCTGATACCAACTTAGAAAATATGAGGAAGAAGAACTCCGAAAATATGAGGAAGAAGGAATATATTTCTGTTATATTCAAAACTTCTTATTTTACAAGACCAAATGACACTCCTTATATAGGAGATATTACAAACATCATTATAACCCATTATATGCCACTTACATATTATATATTACCACTATCTACCACTATCATATTATATACATGCCACTATCTACCACCAACACCACTATCATATTCTATACATGCCACTATCTACCACCAACACCACTATCATATTATATGCATTAACACAAATTTTCAGCATTTTTTTTTTTTAAATCTCCCATTCTCATGAGAGACTAGAAATTGTTCACTGTTATCAAATTTCAACTTCTTCAAAAATAGTAAAAAGTTGCAAAATCCAAGTGTCTAATCTGGATACAAGGTTGACCACATATCCCATACCCTCAAGCCTTACCTTCATCATATTCAGTGGACAAGGGTACATTGGCAGCAATGTTTCCAATACATATCAGCCGATATTTAAAACCATGGTTAAGAGGAATAAAAGAGTCCATGTCAAATTGCACAAAACCTATGCATGTGTCCTAGTCACATGGAAATTTTAAGATTTCATGCAATGACGTAATTTTAATTTTTCTTTAACCAAGTATAGTGATGACTCAAATTTGAGTGACTTCACTGTAGAAGATTTCTTATGACTCCAAATATATCAAAGAGGATTGCTGGGAATTTTCTTTATTTATTTGTATTTCCTTGCTAATAACGCCCAAGTGAATGCACTAAAGCCATTAAAAGCATTGGTATAATGTTGTAACATTTACCTTGTAATTCCAGAAGGATGTGAAGACAAAATACATCTCAATGAATATGCTGCCAAAGGGAAGCAGTCCTCCCATCATAGAAACAACAGATGGTGTGAGGTACCATTTCTTCTCTGGGATTGGACGAGGAATGGTCTTCACACGGCAAGGATTGTTTGGTGCACCACTCCAGTTTCTTCCTACGACAGTACCCAGAAGTGCAAGAGGGAAAGAGATGAAAGCCCAAATGACAAAAACCACCACCATCGTGCCAAAAGGAATAGCGGCTAAAGACCCATAGAATATTGCAATTGTATTCAAAAGGAAACCAATCCCAAAGCACATAAATGGGAAAAGTGATGCAGTGAGGATCATTGATTTTATCCAGTTTTTACCTGAAAAGAAGAAAGAAATATGTAATTCAAAAAAACTCTATGCAGATAATAGATGTTGTGTCCACCAAATGCATACAACAAGAGAGTAAAATAAAGCAATACGTGGATATTGAGCATACCCCCATTGCGTGAGTACATTCCACCACTCACATAGCCCGAAATGAATGATGTGAAAGCATAACATACTATGAAAGTTGTGACTATTGCTCCTCTCCTGAAACAGATAAGCAGAATCATAAGTAATAATTTGAAGCCAAAAAACACTTACATGATGGAACTGGCAAAAAGGTTTGATCTGAAAAGTAACTCAAAATCAGATCAAAATAGAACTATGGACATAGAGATCAAGCATACGCAAATACCTATGGCAAACACACTAAAATACAATAAAAGCGACATGGATGGGAAAATTAAATTTACAAGCTATACTCTGGTATAGAAAAATTGGATTAGATTAGACAGCCAGGCAGACAGTCGCTCGAAATGGCAGACTATATGTTCATAATCCATATACAAAATTGCAATTTACAATTACAATGAGGCAACCAACAACAATAATTTACTGCTTGATGAGAGACATGTTGAATGCATCTTAGTTGGTTCTCCACATACCCGATGTACAACATTCCGACAATTGCCAACAAGATGACAAGGAGAATAAGCAATGCCAGCTGAGCACCTGTCCCAACGACAGCTGAAAGTATAACTAAATTGCGAGGCGGCCGAAACACATCCCCATGGACAAGTTTCCAACCAGACTCTTCACTCACATCTCTTTCCTGAATATGAGGTCATCAAATAGTCACCAAACTTTGTATTGCTGAAAATAATGGGCTCTCTAATGTAAGAGGGAAAAAATAAAAAATAAAAACTACAAAAGATAACAACCCAGTAAATTCAATTTAGAAAAAAAAAAAATGCACATGTGCATGCGCCAGGATACAGAAATGTTTGAGAGCATTACCAAAGTCTCCAAATCATCATCATCCCGCGCATATTTTGCATAGTCATTTCTAAGAGTTCGCATTAGTATCATTGACACCAGACCAGTAAGGAAGATAACCATCATGAACGAATTAAAAATAGAGAACCAGTGTATCTGCATCATACGTAGGCATCTCAGTTAGTTAAGTTCTAATAAAAAATTAAATGTGACATCAAACCACCCACTAAAGACTCGATTTATTACAAGCAATACCATGGTATCAAAATTGCAAATAAGCAAATATGTGAATTAACCAATTTATAACAAGCAATGCAACACCTACTATTCCTTTATTGACAATACACAGAGGGGAGGGAAAGAATGTCACATACACAACACCATTTACCTGATGCTCAAAGAATGGATAATCCAGGTAAATATCAAAGCGTCGTGCAAAAGTGACATTAATTGGGATCCATTTGACGGAGTATGTCATGTCCAGTGCTCTCCCCACTTCCAATGGTTTAGGGCTCTCTTGAGTGAGGTTAACATGAATGATCTACATGAAAAGAAACAATTAACAACAATAACACAGAAATTACAAATCCCCATGTAAAATCAAATGGTGCATAAGCAAAGGACCTGATCCTTGTTGTATTTAACAATAATGTTTTTATGTGTGTAAAGCACATGCTTGTTGTTATCACTGTTCTTGTCAGGATGCAGGTTACCAACAAAACCTATAACATCGACAAGATGATAAAATAAAGCATTGAATTAAACATCTGAACAGACTAAAAAATTAAAAATAAGTTTAATAATACAAAAAGTACAATACATAAATAAAAAAAAAATTAAAATTTGTTAATACATACCCCATAGAGGCAGATCGTCTGAACAGTATTCAGCATGCCGGAAACCAAGAAGAAGAAGATCAGAAAAGGGGCAACATAAGTGATGAATAGAGCTCCAACAAATATATAAGAAAATTGAAACCCAAAACCCAACAAAAGGCATAAAAACCAAACAGCACCACCACACTCATGTTTCCCAATCCACATATAGTATGGAGCTATAAAATGGAATATCAAAGTATTACAAAAAATCAAGGATCCTAGATGATGCTCATGCCATCCAATGCAAAAGTGAATATGAATGCAGCCATTGCATTTCAATACCTCAAAGGGTAAGAATCAGAAAGTTTAAAGACTAAGAAATCAAACACTCATGGACTCAAGCCTCCTAGAACTCTATGAAATACTGATGTTTAGTATAGTCTCTCAACTATGCGTGCGACTGTTTCAGCATATGAAATCTCGAATTGTCTCTCTAAGTTGAATATACAGTGCTATAGGCGCTTGACAAAACAATTGAATCATTAATTTTTAAGCTCTATTTATGTTAAAAAAAATAATATACCCACAAAGAGAGCAATAATTCCCATGACAAGCTATTGACCATAATGCTCATAGGTGCCAACATAAGCAGCATGTCCCAGCCAGTGGGTTAAAAATAACTTTATTCTGTTCCAAACAACAAAGTAGAAGATTGCCAATACAAATGCAACCCTGGTTTTCTACAATAATAACATAAATATCAGTAGCTTCATTATACAGTGTGATGTACATAAGTTGCAATTCTCTCAACTATTCAGCAGGGATGACATAGTCTCTTGCAAGGGATGCATGTTTTAAAATCTTCCAAATAAAAAACATGATTCAGATTTACATAGAGTTCCCAAAAGTTCATTTTTTACAGCATTTTTTAAATAACAATACATTAGACGGTGCCAAAAAAAGGGGGACCCAACCAGAGACCTATAAGCCTCCTATATATCTATAAGGAAATAAAAATTCCCCAAAAAACCTACAAAAAATGCAATCAAAAAGGAAAATCCTTCCTAAGCCAAAAATACAATGAAGCAAGCACAGCTCCTTTCAAGCAATAAATAGAACACTTCATGCCTTCAAAAAATCTCCCAATCCTCTCCATCCACAAGCACCACATCAAACATATAGGAGTAGCATTCCAAGCCATCCCGTCACAACCCTTCCTTCTGAATATAAGGCAGCTCCCTAAATAATTGGGCATCACCCACTCAATCCCAAACCTCTCTTGCGACTAGACCATGCAACAAAAGATGATTCACGCATTCCCCCTGCATTCTTGCCCAAGAAGCACCAATCCATAAGGACTTCACCCCTCCTCCTCAAAGTCATAAAGTTAAAATAGCATCACAAACCGCTCTGTTCCAGCAAAAAAAAGCCACCTTGGAAAAAAGAGCCTTTAATCACAATATCGCTTTCCACAGAAAAGATGCATCACCATCCACAGCAAATTCTGACAAAAAAGAGGCTGCAAAAACACTATTTTCATACACCCTTTCCCAGCCAAAGTGTCGCCCACCTCTATCTGAGCCAAGTTACCCTGAAGCATTCCAATAAACGTCTCAATTGACACCAACCTCCCAATCTTGCAAAGAATTCACTTTCATGATGCTTTTCCAAACACCAACACCATGGGACTGGCATCTGTATACCAATCTCTCCAATCCTGATCACATTTCCCATCAATCACCCTACTCCACAAACTAAAGTATCATGAAAAAGTGAGTTCTTTAGTCCACAAACTAAAGTATCGCATTTCCTCTCTCTCTCTCCTTCTCAGAACCGAAATAGGCATAGAAAAAAGCGACAAAAAATATGTTGGCATACTAAATAAAAGTGCTCATGATAAGGGTAAGTCTACCACCCTCCTGAATCCTGATGTTATTTTTAAATGTCAATAGCAATCCATTCACATATCATAAATTAGTAATAAGGAACAAGATTACCGTGCGTAACATACCCATGAAGAATTCAAACCAATAACTACTCTCAATAGCATCCTTAAATTGTTTCACCTTCGCTTCATCAAGTTCAAGGTCACAAATGGTGGTCTTCTCCATATTTTCTGCCAAACAAGGTCAAAGGATGCCAATGTCATCATTTAACCACAATAAAGCAACCACAAAAGATAAAAGGAAGTTATACATACTTTGGAACTTTATGTCAATCTGACTATCAATAAGTTCATTTCCACCCAGGACCTCCCCAAGGCCACCCCATTTGTGAGCCATTTCGCCAATTGGATGACAAAACGGAAGGCTGTAATAATTGTATGTTTCTTGTGGATTATTATAAGGCCCAACCTTATTTACCCAAAGGGTAACAGGGTCATCTGGTTGATACTACAGGAGGAAATAAATTAGTTTCATAAAAGTCAATATAGCTACAATGTATGTAAATAAGAATAAATAAATAAACATAAGTTCCACTTGACTGGATTAAAAACAAGACTAGTACTAGAGCTACTTGTGCACAATTTAGGTGGACTACAATACATAGGTATTAGTTAACAATATACAGAAGAACAAAATTGATTAAAGACCAAAAATGGTATAAGTGAACTGGGATTTAATGAAATATTCAGGATTACAAATTTTTTCCCATGATTATTATAAATATTTTACTTGAAGAATATAATAATTATTATAAATTTTAATAATATAACATGTTTAAATTGCAGGGATTGTACAAAGCTTCCAGTTTGTAAATGGTGATAATATGGACTTTGAATGATTTTCACAAACATTCCACATCATTTTAATTAAGCTCATGGTTGGCCAAAACTCGTGGAAAAAAAAAAGGGGGGAGGGGGGGATAATAGGGTTATATATACATCACTTGGAATGAACATGGCACACACCCATTTATCAAATCGTTGAATGTAATTACATTATTATGTTCTTATTATTTCATGGGACATCCTTTTCATTTTTCTATTTATCCTTTCCTTTTAGGTGTGAATTAAGTGTCCCGCCTAAAAGAAATGAAAATGATGAGTTGACAAAAATTGATCATTTGCTAATAACATAATAATGTAAATTTGCGTAAAAGTTGATAATTTACTGTAATTTAAATTACATTTCAAGATTGGATAAATGGGTGTGATATTCATTCCAAGTACTCCAAGTTTTTTCCTTTTGATATATATATATATATATAACCATCTTCTCCCCAATTTGTACTTATAATTTTTTTGCCAACCACATATATAATTAAAATGTCATGAAACATTTCATTTGAAACATGTGACAATATTCAAATCTATATTAACACATTTTATAAACTGTGGAGCTATGTACAATTCCTGTAATTTAAACATATTATATTATTAAATGTTTTGAGCTCTGTTATCATAATCTTATGATTCGTGATTCGATTCATGATCCAATTCGCAATTTTTGCAAAATCGATACAAATCTAGGGATAAATCTATTTTGGAAGTGAATTTCTAATGAATCGCACGATTCACAATCGATTTGCGATTCGATTCACTTTTTATGATTCATACAACTGTTGAAATTATTGTTTCCGATATATTTTCGACATTTTTTTCTCCATCTTTTTAGTGAAAATGACATGACACAACTACTAATATCATTTAATACCAAAAAAATCAATACATATACATGATTTATTATTATTTTAGTGATCATGAAATTTTTAATATGATTCAATCAGACTCAACATGTTTTAACATTTCTTCTCATTTTTTTTCCTTTAAAAAATCATAATATATCTTCTAAAGATGTTTAAGATTAAAGTAACCTACACCATGAAATATCTATTGCTATTTTATTAAATTGAAGTTGAATATTACATTGATGAGGTTAGTTATACCTTTTAAAATATTTTAAACTTTAAAATAAAATATCCTAAATAATTATTTCTTATTATTTGGTCATTGTTACTTGGATAAGATGCATGCTTATTGTCCAAATATCAATATTGTTGTTAATTATTGTTACTTTAAAAATTTATAGTTTGTCTATTTGGTTACTATCTTTGTTAAGAATGGTTGATAAAAAATATCTAAAAAAAGAAAAAAGATACAATGATAATCTTACATATGAACTTTTGTTAATTTCTTACCTATTAAACTACGTGATTGTCATTCAAAATAATATTTTTATTTTAAATCTAAATATTTCATATTCATAAGATATATTTAACATCTAAGTGTGTAAATATATTTTTCTAAGTAATTTCGAAAAAATGACTGAATCTTTAAAAAAAACGATTCGATTCACGATTCGGTATGAGGCCATTTCGATTCACGATTTGAATTCCAATTTGACAGCTATGGTTTTGAGTAAAATATTTATAATAATCATGAAAAAAATTGTATCATGAAAAATCATTAAAGTACTTAGTTAACATGATCTAAGTACTTTGATAATCATTAAAGTACTTTGATTTGTACCATGCTACCAAACCTTTCTTCATCTCATGGTACATGATCCCCTAGCACGTAAATCAAGTGAAGAACTTTGATTATGTAATGCCATATCTTTTCCCAAATCCCTGTTTTACCCTTTGCAAAAGTAATCATCTCCATGTCAAACTAAAAAATTATTAATACACCACTGTTTTGGCACATGCCCTTTGATCTCACCACCAATCTGCCTTGTACTTCATTTTATCACCATGACAAACTACCCAGTCTTAAGTACACCTGCACTACAACCATCATATTCTCTCTCGTCTCTCTTATCTCTTCTTTTAACCATCATTTTTCAACTACAAACGTCATCACCCAACAAACCCTTACCACCATACCCACCACCCCATCTCTCTCCCTACCAAATAGACCCATCAACTTACCACCACCATCTTCACCAATGCCCAAATTTAACTTTTTTTACGCTATAATCAGAAAAAAGTGAGCTTACAAGCTCAGCCAAACAAGCTCAGTGGATCCCAATTTATATGGTTTTATCTTCTTCGCACATGCCTGGTTTGTGTTTTGGACCACAATCTAACATTTGGGCTTTTTGATAATTTTCTGAGCATTTTTCTCTGAACACATAGAATTACTTAGTTGCTTTCCTTTGACAGTTCACAGGAACACAGGCAAACCACTTTCTTTAAAGCACTAATTCAATTCACAATTCTGAATACTCTAGTTTCCAATTTTAGCATGCACCACAGCAACCCCTTAACCCTTGCTCCGTTAACCAGAAGAATGATGTCCATTCACGCGTCCGGCATACCCACAGATACATTCTCTCTCCACCACAATTGCATCACTCATATATGGTTGCATCCAGTGCGAATACATTCCCAAGTTAAGATCTAAACCCCAAACCATGACCTTACTATGAAATTAACCAAAATCTATGCTCCTGGATCGTAAATCAAAATTGCACGAAGATTAAAACGAAACGAAACGCAATACAATTTCACACGATTAATTATGCAATTATATACCAAAATCAAACGAATTCAAGCCCTACGCATATAGATCTGAATAGAATACAAACAATAACATTCAAAACACAAGATCTGCGAGTTGAAAAGTTGGATAACAATGAGAAATCTAGCTAAAATTACGGTTTTTACATGGAGTTAAACAAAGTGTATACCTTGTGATCTGACTCCGAGGCGAAGGTCGGCGAGACGATGAGGAATGCGACGAGGGCGATGAATGAGAATGATCGGACGGTGGACCGCATCGGAATCGAAAGGGTGTGAGTAGATCTGACGGTGAAGAAGACTGAGAGAGAGAGAGAGAAGTCAGCGGATGGTGATTTCATTTGTTTCGGTTTGGCCTTCCTGGGAAGTGCCAGAGACAGAGAGAGAGTAGAGAAAGATAGAGAGAGAGAGAGAGAAAGATCCCTTTATGTTGCAACTTTTATGAATGAAATATTTTAGGCAAATTAGAGAGTTTCATTTTAGGCAAATTAGAGAGATAGTCCTGTAATTTACAATTTTTTTTAAGAGGGATGTTAGAGAAAAAAATTTATTAAAATTTTTATTAAATATTGTGGGATTCATATGAAATTTACATTATGTGAGTTTTACACAAATGTAAGATATTTGATAAAAAAAATTGATAGAATTTTTAGAATCTTTAGCATTTTTTTTTTTATTTTGGTTCTTATTGTTTTAATTTGCTTAATTTTGTCTTTTAATTTTACAGATTTTGTTATATTAATCTAATAAATAATGACAGTTAAACTTGATGGACGGAAAATTAAATGATATTTTAATTTGGTTCTTGTAGTTTACAGGATATATTAATTTGGTCCTTGTTGTTTTGACTTTCTTATAAACTATAGGAACCAAATTAACACATCTTGTAAATTAGATTAGGGGTGTGCATAATACCGCCGAAATCGCACCAAACCGCACCGCCAAGGCAAATTCGTTATTATTTGCCAATCGAACCGCCGGTTTTTGGTAAGAAAAATGGAAAATTCTAATGACACTTTTATCAATCCGCCGGTTTCTATTTTTCTTCCAAATCGCACCGACCCGCACCGCTATTAAATCATGTTTTATAAGATTCTAAAAATTCTTTTTTACTTAAGTTTGTTTGTTGTTCTATACCTTAGAATATAGTATTACATTACTGCTCAAGGGGAATTCAGGATGTCAGTAATTCAAAATAAAGTTGGATTCCAATTCACTTTTCAATCTTTTTTTTTTTTCTGGCCATGTTGCAAACTTGCATCAGTTCACTTTTTAATCTAAATACTTTTCAACAGTAAACATTTTCAATATATCGTAAACCCTGAATGATATTAATTTTATGTGTTGTATTTGATCATTGTAGCTTCCACAGATGCTTGTAATGAACTGATGGCATAGTCGTTGATATTATCATGTTGTTGCTACACTCGCTGCATCAGAAGAAAGCTTCGCAAGATGCTTAACATCACGATATCTCTCGTCTTTTTTTTACTCTTTGATTTAAGTTTTGTAATTTGAATTATATTTTTTATAAACCGCCAATCCGCCCGAACCGCCAAGGCAAATCCGCCATTATTTGCCAACCGAACCGCCGGTTTTTGATAAGGAAAATGGCAAATTCTAGTGACACTTTTATCAATCCGCCACCCGCCATACGGTTTCTATTTTTCTCTCAAACCGCACCAACCCGCACCGCACACACCCATAAACTAGATGAACCAAATTGAAATATTGATTTTCCGTCCATCAAATTTAACCGTCATTATTTATTGAACTAATATAACATAATTTGTAAAATTAAAAGATAAAATTTATCAAATTAAAATAACGGGAACCAAAATAAAAAAATGAATAAATTATAGAAACCATTTATATAATTTACCTAATATTTTACTTAATTATGTGAAATACCTACGGTAACGCCATTAGCATTGTTTAATTCCAAACATGAAAATTAAAATTACGAATTAGTGTATTTTGTTAATTTAATTATAAATTTGTATTTAAGATAGCAGTGGAATGGATGAAAATAAATTTACATGTTTGTGCAATTCTTAGAAGTTAATTACTAATTAAAGGACAAATTTATCATTTTATATTTTAATATATATAAAATTTATCAGTAATCTATAAATATTTTTTAAAACTTTTACTTGCAGATACTATTTCCTATATAAAAAAATGTATGTAACTTTTAATAATTCAAAGTAATAGCATCTTTTTACAAGTACAATTTAAAACAAGTAACTTGTGTCTTGTGTCACATTTTTCATTTGTATTTTATAAAAATGTAATTATTTTAAATATTTTCATTTTAATAATTTTTTTTGTAAGTTTAAAAAATAGGTGGAGTCTATTATTGAATTGACTAAAGAATTCTCAATGGAAGTGTAATTGTTTTTTGATTGTTCTAATTTAAATGCACTTTTTTCATAATTTTGAACAAGTGAAATATATAGTTGAATTGACCAAAGTATTCTTCCATACGGCTTTTCTCGTATTCTCTTCTCTTTTTTTTTTCTTTCATCTACAACACATTATCATCAACCTCTACCAACAACTATTGGAAAATCACCCCTTACAAACCCCAACCTCCTTGTTTGAGAACATATTATTTTAGTAATTTTTTAACTTTTTATAAAAAAATATGTAAAAAAATAAGCAAAGTGATGTAACAATTTATAATAATTTTTTAACTAAAATATATAATTGACAAACGAGACTGTAACCACCCATCCCCAGCCCTTTCCCAATTCAACCCTACACCTCCTAACTTGATACTGAAAAACATGTTCAATACAAATGTAAATTGTGCATGAGAGTGCAATTGCAAATCATGTGAGAAGAATGTTACACTTGTTGCTTGCATCGAAAAGGGGAGTTAGGAATGGCAATGGGGCGGGGCGGGGCGGGGCGGGGATCACCCTCCCCGTCCCCGATGGTCGAATTTTTCCCGATCCCGATCCCCGACGGGAAATCTACCACTGCCCCCACTCCCGCCCCCGCCCCCAACGGGGATCGGGTTTCCTCGACCCCGAGCATTCCCCGGCTAAAAAAAAAAAAATTCATAAAATACAAATCATCAACAACAATAACAACAACATTATCTAAAAACAGATCTGAAACAAAATTATTAATGGACGGGGAAAATACAACTCATCATCTGAAAATACAACAACATCAACATCATTATCAGAAAATACAACTCATTATCCGAGAAAGATCTGAAATAGATCTAAAAACAAAAAAAAAATTGTGAAACAGATCTGAAAACAAAAAAAAAAAAGATATCTGATTTGTTTATAAACTATAATTTAATTAAGAATCCTCTAGTTGTATTTTTGTCATTAAAATAGAACTCAATAATAAATCACAGATTCCATCCAGACTGCACAAAACTAAACCTTTTCCTTTACATACAAAAATAAAGTAAACTTCTTTCCTTCTTTATGTTAAAAACACCAACCAGTGTCTTCCTAAAGTCGCTGTCAAACCTTCAATGCTAAAAAAAAAAAACAAAAAAGCTTCAATTGGTCTAACCGTTCCCTTGACTCATTCTCATATTTTGGTCGGCGACGTCGAGAAGAAAGGGAGTGGATGAGAGACGCGGTGGTGGTGGTGGTACGAGCTAGACAGCGGTGGTCGTCATCGACGTCGAGAGAGAGGGAGTGGATGAGAGACGCGATGTGGTGGTGGTGGTGGTGCGAGCTGGACGGCGATGGTGGTGGATCTGAGAGAGAGAGAGAGAAGTCAGTGAGGTAGAGAGAGTTGAGACACGGAGACAGGGTAGAGAAGAGAGAAATGAGATCTGAGACTGAGACCTGGTTTATATATATATATATATAAGGGTAAAATCGTAATTTAATATCGGGGATAAATTGGGTCGGGGATCCGGGACGGGGCCGGGCCGGGTACGGGGCTGGGACACTTATCCCCGTCCCCAGCCCGAATTTGTTCGGGAATTGGTTTTTAAATACCATCCCCGTCTCGTCGGGGGTATTTTTCGGGAAAAACCCGCTCAATTCGGGTTCGGGGGGTCGGGTCCCCATCGGGCCGGTTTCAAATTGCCATCCCTGTTAATAACAAGTGTTTGAAGATTTGTTTAAAACAATTTAATTAGTCTTCCAAAATACTTCAATATTGCACGCCAAGTGTTTCATACATTGTTACACATATTTTGCACTTACGTTTTTGTGTTGTTTGAATATATCTAATTATCTTCATTACCTAAAATTATTTCTCACTTATTTTACCATAAGAATTTGGGGTTGCAAAAGGACACTATTCACCCCCCCTAGTGTTAAACACTTGGGAAACAACGACCACTTTGAACTTCCACTTCACTGCCTTGCCATTCTTTCTCTTTTTCGTTGTTGGTCTTCTCTTTCTTCATTCTGGCCTTCTCTCTCTTTAATCGGGAACAAAGGTGAGAGAGAAACCCTAGCCGACGCAGGTGGCAGTATTAGCGTCGTCGCTACTTTGCTGCCTCCATCATATCCAGATCTGCAATCAACGCCAAAATGGTTGTCGATTCAGGCCTGAAGGCATCTCTTAAGCTCCTTCAATTCTACTCTCAAATATGCTGCGAGATTGAAGGTCAAATAACCCCTGTGAGACGATTCTCCAGGGTCGTTCGGTTCATTACTAAATATCTAATTTCGTTGTTAAAACTAAAAACAAGGATAATTTTAACAATTAAAATATTTTGTCTCCAAAATGAACTAACACAACACGACCAACACAAAATGGTTTCAGCCTGTAATTAAAACTGAAAAGCCAAACTTGCAATAATTTGTTTGAATTTTTATTTTATTTTATATGAAATATTTATAAAATATTCATGTAATTACATATAGGAAAATGTGGTGGTGGTGGTGGTGCGAGCTGGACGGCGATGGTGGTGGATCTGAGAGAGAGAGAGAGGTCAATGAGGTAAAGAGAGTTGAGAGACGGAGACGGGGTAGAGAAGAGAGAAATGAAATGAGATCTGAGACCTGGTTTATATATATATATATATATAAGGGTAAAATTGTAATTTAACATCAGGGATAAACCGGGCCAGGGATCGAGGCCGGGGACGGGGACGAGGCCGGGCCGGGTACAAGGCTGGGACACTTATCCCAGTCCCCGGTCCGAATCTGTTCGGGGATTGATTTTTAAATACCATCCCCGTCCCGTCGGGAGTATTTTTCGGGGAAAACCCGCTCAATTCGGGGTCGGGGGGTCAGGTTCCCATCAGGCCGGTTTCAAATTGTCATCCCTAAGGGGAGTGGTTGAGGATTGTTGTTATCAGTAATTGAGAATTTTATATATTTTGTGGAGTTTATTTATCCGTTTAGGGGTTGTATATAGTTATTTATTTATTTATTTTTGTTTATGCTAGTGGTGATTTTGACTTTAATTGTCAAATTTAATATAATTTTTTATATTTATTATT